CGATGCCGGCGAAATGTTTGAAAATGTACCAAGTCCGCTGTCTGATACCAGGAATTATGACATCCACTATGGCAGAGAACTTCGGATAAGGTTCGTACTACTAAGTCGCCCTGACAACAAGACCAGGTTGCGACAACGAAGTAAACCCACTTCTTTAAACAGTTATTGTTCTTATTCTTTAAATAATTAATAATAGTAATTAACTAAGTATAATCAAATAATAATAGTTAACTAATCATCAATAATTATTATAGCTTATAGTACTATAGAAACCAGGAGTTCCCACTTATTAGTAGAGGAAGTATAAAAATAATTATACTAATTACAAATATATTTAATTAACGATAATATGTATCCTATATAAATATATAATAATTTATCTTATTTACGATTTATTATAATTATACTTACTCTATTATGATAATTATACTCCATGATAATTGTTATAATTAATTTATCATAGGTGATTAATTATCACTAATTATACTAATTAATAATAATAATTTTACCAATAATTCATTGGATCAAGCTTACTTATTTGAAGCAACCTTACAGTCATGGTGTACAACTTAGAATTTGATTCGTAGATTGATTTGAACCCAGCCGTTTTTGTAAAATGGGCTGAAGAAAACCGTCATCTTCGCCCGTTTTTTCATCAGCTATTTTTTTCTATTTTCATGTATTAGGCCAACACAAAATCCCTCAATAATCTTGTCGAAATGCCCCTCTCCTATTTCCTGGCTTTGCATATTCCTTCGTTTCATTTTGGTTTAATTTAGCTAGTTCCTCCAGCCTCCCAAGCTCTTCTGCAGCATCATTCTTCCATGCGCGCTCCAGCAGTGATGATCTCGTGACTTCTGACCACGTCCGTCTTCATTCTGGCCTGCCTCCTGTCGCTGGTTATCCTACCAGCTCAATGGGCGGTAGTCGGCGCGGCACTCTTTGTGGTTCGACCACTCCATCAGGACTCGTGACAATGGAGGGTGACGCTGTAGGTTCTGGAAGCAATGGGAGTGGAACTCGTTCTCAGAATGTTAGACATCAAGCTCTTGAGTTGCCGGAACATCTGAGAGGCAGTCTTATTAACCAGGTATAGATGGAAAGCCGATTATTATTAAATGTGAATCGCGAATAATATTCAAATCTTTATGCCATCTCTTTTGTATTTTTATGAGAGCATTTGTTAACTTGTTTTAACTGCTTTTGACCAAAGTTTTGTTCACTTCATTCTGAACGAGTCTAGTCTCTTAATAGGCAGAAATTGCATAAAAATTAAAAGTTATCTCCTCAAAAATGGGTACTTGGTGCCTACGCTTAACTGATCCAAAAATATTTTATCATTTTAAGGGATAGCTAGTGCCAGGAAATCACTGATGGAATGAAAAATAAGGTGAAAGGCTAAACTATAGATTCACAGAGCATACGTATCTTCCACAAATTTAAAAATTGCATGGAATAGTGAGTATCTGGATCAAATTTTGTTGGTCCTGTTCTGCACCGACTATGTATACGACTCAGCTTTTAATTTCTACTTCCTTATTCTTTAAGCCCCTTTGTTTCACGGATTCTTAATTCTCATTCTTATTTTTAGTATTATCGTCATTTTTGTTAAAACTTCTTCTCTGTACTTCATATGCTCTACGATATTTGTGTTTGTAGCAGACAAAGTAGGTCCTATTGTGCCTATTAGCATTGACTGCTCAGCAAAATTTTGTCCGCCTTTTCGAGCGCATACGAACCGAAAGTTTGTAATCCACATTGATCGGTTGTTGCCTTGAGAGTAAAATATACTCTCCAACTATGATTTGGTAGTGGCTTCAACGTCTTGGCGCCAATGCAGACAGCCATTTCTTTTGGTTTCAATGCCGGCATCATAAATTTTGTTTATGGCTCACTTTCAAATGAGTCTAATCCAGCAGCTGACTGCTTTGCTTGTCTATTAAGACCGTATTAATGTAAATCCTTTTTTTGGAATTCCGGAAACTTTGATATTATAGCCTACTTCTTGTATTCCACTGTGGTATTACCTTACATGTATATCTTTACTTTATTTTCTCTAGAACTCCCGTAAACCAACCTTCCTAATTCGCAGTGAATTGAACTCCTCTATGGAGAATCTCATCATACAAGAACCCTCGACACCAAAAGACGTAAGTCCAAATATTTTAATTATAATATTAAAGATGATGCAACGTTTAAATCGAATATTCTAATTGATTACAAAGTTGCAACTATAAGAATTAATTGTTTATCGCACCAGCCCTGCCTACATTTGAGACAAGCTATATCTGAATGTGTTCTAACAAGATCCATTCTACGTTTGGGTGTTTATCATAGTATTTTATCTCTATTGCTCAGTCTAAAACAGATGAAATTTGGCATGTTGGCGACAGTTAATTGTTTCTTCGTAGATATGAAGACCAAGATTGTGGGCCTTGTGTTTGGTCATAGTCCCCTTTAGCTTTACAGGGCTGATTCGCCCTTTTTTCGCAACTTGGTTGTGGTATCAGTGAGACCCTGTGGAACGTACCTAGTCCCATGTCCTCTGCCATAGTATTCGTGATTTCCAGCATTGCACAATTGGCTGGGGGCGATGAGTTATGTCACAACGGTTTGACAAAAAAATGGTTAAGAAGATAGCCTTCATCTGTTACTTTGATAAGTTGTATCTCTGTGCTTGCGATGGCACTTCTCACTGACGATGCCGGCGAAACGTTTTGGAATGTACCCAGCCAATGTTAGAATGATGGAAATCACGAATACTATGGCAGAGGACATGGGACTAGACCCACAGGGTCTCACTGACACTTCAACCAAGTGGCGAAAAAAGGGCGAACCAACCCTGACTGCGACTAAACAGAAGACCACACCATCTTGGTCTTCATAACTACGCTCTAACAGTTGGTGTATTTTAAGTGGCACTCCGCGTTCTGAGTTTATTAATTCGGTATTTGGTCGCTTACTTTGCTGTTTGGCAACACGGCAAAAATAGTTTGGAGGAATTACTTGGGTCAATAAATAGAATGGATGCCAAAACTATGTTTACCATGGAGTTAGACAATGAGAATAAATTACTTTTTTGGATGCATTAATGAACAATGAAGGTAATAAATTGGGCATAGGCGTGTAAAGGAAATCCAGACATGCGAATTTCCTCATTCGTTTCTTATCCAATCATACAAATGGGGTCAAAGTAGAAGTTATGAAATCAATGGTAAGAAGGAGTCTGCGTTTAGGAGATGTAAAGCACAGACATATATTGTTTCAAACCAATTACCCATTAGGATTAGTGGATAATTACATTTCAGTTGTCAGTAACAAGATGAGGGGAGATTGCTAACTGGGGCGGGATAGAGAATTAGGCCATTCCACTCGTTTACTGATTTTGCCTTGGTGTCAGCTTGTGAAAAAATTGAGTGATCTACGGAGGAATGGGAACATCAGAACAATGCAAAAAGAGCAATTAACACTTGCTTTAATAGTTCCTTCGTTTAGATCATTTTCACACCCTCTTTCTTGATCAGACTACTACAAGGCTTCGTCTCATATCGTAATATCTATGTGGGGAGACCTGCCGGTCCATCCAGAGGTGATTGTGTGAACACAAAACGCCTTGTCAAGGTGTATAGGTACAGATGTCTGAGCTGGCTGAACACATGGTTGATACAGGACACTCAATAGACTGATCCAAGACACAACGTTTTGCGGATTACGGGGACTTGATATCAAAGCATACGATTAAGGAGTCTATAGAACTTGACAAAACAACCCACATTCTGAATGGGAGGAAGAAGTGTAGAAAATTGCGTAGGAACTATTAGTGTTTGTCGGATAGGCTTAAGGAGACAGTGAACAAGAGAACCAGACTCAATTAGCCTCGAGTCTGGTTGCAGCCGGCCACCTTTTCCCTTGGTTTGGTATATATTTTCTCTATCTCATAAAGTATGTCTTCTTGTCCTGATGATGTCTGTCACGATGGTAGAGACGAAAGCTTAGCACAAGTTCATCGGTGTCACAGGCCGGTGAGCCGAGGAATTCTTCAAACAATCCAACAGTCGTCATTACGCAACGATTCTCCTTCGGTTGCTGATGAGGCCACATCGTGAATTTCTGTTAACTCACTTTTCTTTCGAAATGGAATGTCATGTTGTAATATCTTATTATGGGCGCCTTGGCAACCCACGTTCTCTTTACATATTTTACATTTTTAACACATATTTAGATTCTTATTTGGGCTAATAATTATTATAGGTCTGAGGATGGTTGATACGTTACTACGTAAATGCTGCTGACAGCATTACTCCTCGCTCCTATGTTTTTTTCTACCTTCTAATGCTGCATCTCTTTCCCTTAACCCCACTTAATATGGCATATTTACCTTTTCACATAATTAGATGCTCTCTTTTTTCCAATTTCGCTGAGAGTGTGTCGTTAGAAAAAGGTTTAGTGAAAAGCGATCATCATTACCACCAGTATCAGGTGCCAATTTCCAGTCCTATCACAACTACAGGCTAAAGATAGGAATAATGGGGAGCATGATCATCCGAAGCTTACGGTTAACGGATATAGAATTCTGGGACGAGCAGTTAGACACGTTGGCTCGGATATTCCTCTTTGACGGCTACTCAAGCAAAGTAAATCTTAGAGCCACAAGAGCCGTGAAAAGCTGATGGCATAACGGAGACTACGAATGAAAAGTAAGGACTAAGAAGGATTCACAAAAGTGGCTATGCCTACATTTCTGCGAACTAACTCAAAAACTACGGCCAACACCAAGGAAATGGAATATTCGGGTGGCCCTGAACGAAAAAACCACACCTTTCACAAGTCTACTTACGCAACATGAAAGAGTAGACAAATTGGATTGTTCAGGAGTTTATTGCATATCATGTAGCGCCTGCGAACAGAAATATATTTCTGAGACAGGTAGAAAATCAGTATAATAATCAAGGAACATCAGAGGCTTTGCAGGAAAATGGATACTGAAAGGTCAGAATTAGCGGAACACATTGCACAGACCACACATATGAGATCAGTTGGAAGGCAACAGAAAAAAGGGCCTCATATGGTGAAAACAAAAGGAAGCGGAAGATTAGGGAGGCCATTTACATGCTTGGGGAGAAAAATCTAATGAACAGGATATTGGAGGAAGGTAGAGCTAACGATACCTTTGCCTACTGCTTAAGCAAGCCCCGGGAAAACAAGAATACAGCAAGACCGGCAAAAAGGAGAAGCCTGGATTATGGATCTATTGCTAACCGGGGGAAAAAGGATCGAGATGAGAAAAGGGGGGCGGAGATTTTCTGGAATCAAGTGAAGACTCAAAGAAATAGTAACATCTATTCTCTGGCATCAAGGTTTGGTGATCACTATCATTCCCTCCTATTTATTGTAACCATCACTACGATTACACAAAGTCGAATACACATCTGGTTATGTGAGAGAGAGCAGACTAAAATGTACAGAAAGGTGACTGTGATTATAAACATGACAAGAAAAGGATGGACTAGTTGATTCGCCTCTTTTTTGAGTCTATTAATTTAGCATTTGTCGTTTTTACTTAATTTTTGCTGGTATTCCTTACATTCAATGTTTGCCTAGTCGGCCGGCTTCGATGGCCTCTAATTTAACGTTTAAAAGATTCAGCAAAATGACAAGTTTGAGACCATTCAATCTCATATCCAGTTTCTTCCGTGTGCCCTGCTGGCTCTGATTATTGAACCTTTTATCCTCAGCGACCCTTTGTCAAATGGGACGACAAGTTTATCCAACATAAAAGCGACCACATGAAAACATTATGTTAGAGCAACCTGATCGGGATAATGTGTCAATTTTCTCTAAAAGTGGGCATATCTGAAGAATGTCACAATTTCTCTCAAAACCGTCTTTACACTCAACTTCCCTACTGCTTCGCCCATCTTTATGGAGAGAATGCACAAAGGCAAAAACGAAACATGGGAAAAGGTCTCTTGCTCTTTGTCTCCTCTTACGTACTCGCTATTCGAAAAGTATTCTTTATTGATATACTTTTATTTTACTCATGTCTAAGGAATACTTATTCTCAAGCCATAGTACTTTGAGCCGACCCAGTTCATA